ATCTTCAATTATTTATATCCCATGCTATTTACATGGTATCTTGATTCAACATCCCCATAAACCGTTAGAAATGATTAGTAAATATTCTTAATCATCACCGTAATGATTTAAACTCATTTGAGTTCATGGCTAACCTAAGTTGACCAAATGTACCCTTAAATCATAAATCTCCCTCGTATGCATGAATCATCTTGTAAACCATTATTCAAGCCCTAAGTTTGACCCCTAGGTATTCTAAAATCATCCTTGATTATGTTTAAACCCAAATGGACTCTTAATTAAGTTTGGTTTACCTTGATTGATCACTTTGACCATAAAGGACCCATTAGGATAAAATCCCTTAATTATGCATAGATATTATATCAAATTATGCCAAAGGCCTCAGAAACTATTTAATCATTCCCTACAAAAAAGTAATGTCCATTACGACACCTTAAAGTTCCTTAATATGTATCTGTTAGGGTACATATTCTATTAGGACATCAAATAATGGTGTCACATAGGTGACCGTTAGCATAGGGGTAATGGCATCTTTATGTGCCCGAAAAACTAAACTTTTATGGCATATGACTTTGATGTAATAGTTTTTATATGACACTTATAAGGTGTCCTAATAGGAAAGCCTTTCTAACATCTTAATTTTATGGAGCTTGTGAATAAATACAATAACTATTATGTATCATAATAGGTTAACTTTCCTAATACATTTATTTTATGGAACAAGTTCAATAATAATTTTTAAAATAGAAATAATTAACTATCCTAAGACATATGATTTCCCAATACTTAAAATAAATGAAATATCTTAATAAATTGCACTATTATGTGTCTTAATATATTTTTTATCCAATGTAGATTACATTCAATTCTCAAATAAATATGATTACTCATGATATTTCAATTATAAATAATTACTATCTAATCAAAATATTTAAAATCACACATATGAGAACTTACATAATCTATTCTCTTCAAATAAAAATAGTTATTTCTTAAATTTAAAAAAAAGAGGTACTTCAAGCTTCATATTCATTATCATCAAGAGGAACTTGAAATGCAGATAATCCTATTGTTGTCAGTGCTAATGCAGGCCACTTGGAAGTGAACGGACCTATAAGCTTCATCTTTAAGGAAAATTCATGCATTATCATCATCACTGCCTTTGTAGTTGACCAAATATATACCAACAAGTATAAATACTGCACCGCATAATTGTGAAGGAGCGAATGCCTCACCCATCTAGAGGAACTTGAAATTCAGTTTATGTCTTTGACGCAAGTTGGATGTTTTATTGCCTAAATTAGTTAAAATCTACAAAAAATGCAAGCATGATAATTAGAGCTAATAATAAAAGTTATTTCGATTATAAAATAGAAATAATAATGAAATGTTCCTGAGTACTTCATATATGCACTCTTACCCTAACAATTATAAATATTATTTTCATGTTACCCAACATATCAAAACCTGAAGAGCACATAGTGAAGCCTTAGAAATGCATAAAAACACTCTTAGTGACAAAATATTAGTTAACATACCCAACTATAGAGGCAAACACTTGAGTTAGGAATCTGAAAGAACTTAGCATCGTCAAGCTACCTATATAAATAATAATAGAAAGGAAATTTAATTTGTAAAAAAGATAAAAAACAAAGATAACCTATTTAATAAATAGAGCCATTGATATTGGAAGGTGCACTACTTAAGAAAATTTCATAGGCAAAATTATGGAACAATAAGAGCAACTTAAAAATCCAATACCAAGCAAATCTGCATATCAAATGCATTTAACAGGGAAGAATGGCTCTAGTAGCATTGTAGAAGAATACACCATAGTTAATAACCCTTCAAAATATTAAAGTATATAGATGAGGGGGCTGTGAAGTGAACTTTTGAATTGTACAAAAATCTAGGGCTCTATCACCCCTAAATAATTCTTGTATTTTTTTATATATAAAAATAACAAAACCCCACTTAATATACATAAGTATGCATACTAAATTAAGTAATATACTGATAGAGTGGAGTGTCAAACCCATGAGGAACCATTCATACTTACAATAAACTACTACCATTTACTCTAATTCTAATAATTATTCTACCAAAATAAAAATGATATTTATGGAGATTCTATTATTCAATAAAATAGTAAAATATACGACAATATTTTAAAAAAAATATTTTGGATTGAAGAGTAAAAATTTCATATCTTTCCTAATGAGACTCTTAATCATAGATGTTATTTAAAGTATATGCATCCCTTAGTCTTTATCAAGCTAATAGGGGTGAAAAGGATATCTATTGACCTAAAATAGTTATATTATATCCTAAAGAATCTAAAATATTTTATATCCTTCATCTAGGCATGCAAACATCCTTTCTTAATATTCCTAGTTATTCTTGCATTTCTTCATCTAGGTTATACATCATACTATATCTTAACTACACATATAGCCCCTCTGTGTATTAAACTAAGATAAAAGATATTGAAAATATGATTTAACATTTATAAAATAAGAATATTCATTAGTAGTTAACATGTACTTTACATCATTAATACAAAATAAGAGAAATAACCAGGCATAAAATAAATGACAAGAAATCTCATTTTCATTAAACTCATTAAAAAATTGAAAAAAATAAATAAGAGGGTGATATTTCTAGAAAGAATTAAAGTATCTCCTATACACTCCTTCACCCTTAACTTACTTTGTTGATTCAAGAAATAAAGTATAAGCACTCTAAATGATTATACCTTATTATTCCCTATCCTCCCTTAGATTTACTATAAGAGAGAACTAGAGAAGTGCTCTAAAAAGAAGAACTAAATCTTACAAAACTGATTGTACTCTCTTATAAACATAACAACACAACTATTCATAGGTTAATATAAAAAAGGAATCTAGAGCTACGACATTTGAAAGAGTTGCACCACAGTGCCATTGAAGTGAACTAACACCTCAACGCTAAAACTTTTATACTGTTATGGTACTTGCTGATGTGGACTGGTTACTTACTGAATAATCATGTCTCTTTACTATGAGAACATGGTCCTTAGAAGTTACAATTGGATTACCGTGGTGTTGTTGACATTCGAGCACTGTGGAGCCCAACTAGAAAAAAATTGTGCTAAGGTGTGAGAAATTATAGTGCCTCAACATTTAAAAATTGGGAATCTTGCACTACCAAACTGAATTTATGATGTTGCAGTATAGGTCGTACTGAATGGCGCTACGATGTTGCTTTGTCGGAGGCCGCAACATTGTAGTCTCCTTAGAATTTCTATCATTTTTTGGATTTCTTGTGCATAAAAATAACTAAAACAACACATTTTAACTGAAAGTAAAACATATAAAATTGTACATAATTTACTCTTATCAAATTCTACCCAATATAAATTCTTGCTTTTTCTTAAGCAAATAAAAAAATCTATAATTAAAATTAATTAAATAACAAAAGAAAAAATTGATTATTTAAAACTAATGAAATATAAGATAGTATGTCACAATCTAGAAATTGTGAAAATGAAAAAAGTTATAATTCAAATTTGGATAAATACTAAAAATAATTTCTTAATTTGAATTTATACGTTATGAATATAATTATTGACTTTTGAATTCTAAATTGAATAATGTAACTTAAAGATTAGATGTGTTTGTAGTAGAAATTTAAATTTCATTATTTCATCATTATTTGTCTAATTCTCCCATCTTATCCTTAGTAAATTTAAGTATAAGCTTTTATCTGATACCAATTTATTAATGTATTCTTTCTTTTTCTTCTTTTCTTGTATTTAATTTTAAGAACTCTTATCTCATTTAATTTCCTTTTATTTTTATAGAATACATAATTAATAATTTTTAATATCAATTTTGCTTAAAATCTTCTTACAATCTTAATGAGTTTAATATAAAGATTTAATACGATTACTAATTCCAAATTATGGTTGGTTTGATTTTAAATTTTAATCAACATAAATCTATTCTTTAACCTTAATTATTCATCTTCAATTCGAAGATCAATATATAAGTGTATAATTTATAAATTCAAATTAATTATATAATTAAAATGATCTAAGTTAGTCAATTAATTTTTTTTTAATCTATGAATTATAAAGCAATGTTCAATTTAACTATGATGTGGGGTTTTATTATTATCTTAATTTTACATATTTTTTATTATCATTTTGTGTATAGTTAATTAAATAATCAAAAAGCATAGGTATTAATAAAATGAATTATAAAATTATAAGTATATGGGTATTTTATTAAATTTAAATAAAATAAAAAACTAAATGATCCAAGAGGTCTATTATTGACTGAAATTACAAGCTAACTTAATTGGATTTCCAAATTTTTAATAGAAGCAGCATGATTTTGTAATTGAGACCCTATCTACATTGCTACATCATCAAATGATGATTTTCTACTTCCAAACTTATTGCTTTGATTAAATCCTAGAGTATATGCAGGCCTAGGATTAAAATTAGGTTGTTGAGGATTATTCTAATTTACTCCTTAATTATTTTAATAATAATTCCATTAATTATTACCACCTAAGTTATTTGACCAATTAAAATTAGGTTGGTTCCTCTGACCAGGATTATATGTATTGTAGTAGAGATTATTTTATCTTCTAATCAATTAATATTTGCAATATCTTAAATATTATTATTTTTAATTAAATTTTGGTCGTTCAATTGCATAGATAATTCAATTCCTAATCTAGAATTTACTCATATTATGTTCAACTTCTTCAAAATTAGTGCAACTTATGTAAACATCATTGAAGAAGTATTAAATTCATAAATTCCTGCCACTCTCTTATGAGTTACCTTATTAGTAGGCAACTAAAAATTATTAATAGTTATTTCCTTTATTAATTCATATGCTTCATCAAATGGCTTAGAAATTAATAATCCTTCAATTACAAGAACTTTGATTACTCTAATAGATTACACTAATAGATTATAAAATATTTGGATAACCAACTAGTCAGGTAAAGCATGGTGAGGGCATTCCCTAAGTATTTTTAAAATCTCTCCCAACTATCATAAATTGATTCACCTTCAAACAGAGTTAAAGAAGTGATATAATTTATAAGTTTGATAATATTTTGAGGTGTAAAATACTTAGCAAGAAACTTATGAGCAAATTCATTCTAAGTGATTTTAGAGCCTAGGGGTAAAGAATTCAATAACTTCTATGCTTTATCTGTTAGAGAAAATGAGAATAATATAAGTCTAATAGCATCATCACTAACACCATTATACTTAAATATTACACAAAATATTGACAAACTAGCTATGTTTAAATTGGATTCTTCAACAATAATTCTCTCAAATTAAGAAATTTGAACCATTCAAATTATAACAAGTTTTAATTTAAAATTACCATCTTGGATTGTTGGTTTATTAATGCTATGATAAATTTCATCAACTAAAAGGTTAGCATATGTTGCAAATCTGAGTTTATGAATTAGACTTTTGTTGATAGCAAACATTCATGATTTCTTACGACTACCTTGCCTGCAAACTTTTCAAGTCCACAATATCGAATGCAACTCAAGCCAGCTCAAAATCGAATAGATTTAGGTTGAGTCAAGTCTGTATTTTTTCCTTTCTTGAGTCAATTATAAAAGTGGTTCCTGATACTAAGTAACCTTGCACACACACACTTGAGGGTTTTTTTGTTGTTTTCTACTTTGAGAACATCGGCCTAGACGATGACCATATTAGCAAGGACAATCAGACTAAAAATAGAAACCCTAACTAAGTCATCTCATTAATGCAACCATCATTAAGCAGATCATCCTGGATGATCCCTATATCGGCCAGGATGATTGGCTCAGTTAAGAAAGAATTAGTCGCCATGATCAATTTAGGTATTCTTTAATTTAGGGAATCATCCAGGATGATCAAAGCATCGGCCTGGATGATGAAGCACAATTATGCCAAAATTAATATGGTAATTATGGATAGCAATTAAGGTTGATTGATACAATCAGATCAGCTCGGCCGATTGCAGGATTGGCTAGGCCGATGTACTGGACTATTGACATCAACCAGAATCTATTCAGGGCAATGTTCAGGATGATTTTCCTTAGATTTGAACTAATCATTTAGGATGATATGGTATCGACCTGAATAATGTAATCAATTTTCTTCTGATCGTCTGAAATCGTCCTGGCTGATTGAGCTTAATTTGTACTGATCATACAGTACGATAGAAATATCATCCTGGATGATAATATCGGTTCTTAAAACTCTATTTAAAGGACCCAAATTTTTTCATGCTGAAGACCTTGAGTGCTGCTATTTTGACCTGAGAGTGCCTTGGGAGAGGGACATAGAGAGTGACCTTAATTTAGTTTTTGAGAGGGTTCACAATGGTTTCTCCAAACAAGGTTCCAAGTTGTCATCTCCGTTCATCATCCTTCATCGTTGGGAGGTTATTTGGAGGTCTACTTCAGCAAAAAGTCTGGGTTCTCTGCCCGCTTCATGAGGAAGCAAAAGGAGTCGTTTCTCTGTCGCACCAGGGTTGGTGAAAAGGAGTCTGTTGTAAAGGATTCTCCGCCTAGTTGTGGGAGCTAAAGGAGAAACACTTAGTTAGTGCATAACTCAGAGGGTGCCTCTGAGGCGTGGACGTAGGTCAAGGTTTGACCAAACCACTATAAATCTGGTGTGATCTTTCCTTGTTTTACTTTCGTATTTAATTTCCACATTTGTTACTCTTATGGTGAATTGTTTTGGTTTTAATATTGTGCTTTACTTAAGGAAATTTTTTTAAAAAACCAATTTACCCCCCCCCCCCCCCCTTTGAAATTGGAAGATTACATGCGTGTTTTCACTTGCACCATTGGTAAAGAAATTTAGGATAAATTGTGTATCACCTATGAAGGTACTAATGAAATTAAGCAATCCTATTTGAATATTCTCTTGCATGATTATGAACTTTTTGTATGAAACCTTCTGAATTAATTTTTGAAATGTATATAAGGTTTACTCAGATTATTACTTCATTGCATGCATTAGGAAGAGAACTTTCTAACCATGAAAAAGTAAACAAAAATTTAAGATGTTTGCCTTCCTCTTTTGATGCAAAAATTACTGCAATATCTAAATCTAAATATTTAATTACATATTCGATCGATAACTTACTTGGTTCACTCATTGCTTACGAGCAAGGGGTGAACCAAGGAAATCTTGATGCAAGTGAAAGGAAGAAGGAGAAAATGGTTGCACTTAAGGCGAACAATTTAGACACTGACTCTTACGGGTCTGAAAGCAATGATGTTTCTTTAATCACAAGGCAATTTAAGAACTTTCTAAGGAAGAAGCACAAGAATCATCAAAAGTGGAATAAAGGTAAGGGTAGCAAAAATTTTATGAAGTCTAATGATACAATCTGCTTTGAATGCAAGAAGCCTAGGCACGTTAAAGATGATTGTACTACGCTTAAGGCACACCCAAGTAAGGAGAAGGGTGAGGAGAAACCAAACCTCAAAAAGGACAAGAGCAAGAAGCGATTCCAAAAGGAGTTCTGGTGGGATTCTGTATCAGATTCCTGTGAAACTGAACCTCAGGAGGAGAAACCAAACTTGTGCTTAATGGAAGACAATAATCTTTGTCAAAGTGACCAAGAAGAGGTATGTGAACCAACTTTTGATCAATTATTAGAAATTTGTGAGCACATGCATGCATCATATAAAAACTCAAAAAATCTCATGCTAGTTTGAAATTAGAATTTTTAAATTTGCAAAAAGAGCATAAAAATCTTTTAAAAGAAAATTCTCAAATTGATAGCAACCACATGGATTTACTTGATGTGTTTGATGCATTAAACAAAAGGCACAATGAATTATCTGATGCACATGATTCCATAAAATTATCCCATGTTGAGTTAGAAAAAGAATTAACAAATCTCAAAATTTTTGAAAATAAACCATTGTATGATTTTAAAAGGAAGCATAACCATAGGAGTAGATTAGTGCATCCTTTTCCTGAAGTTAGATGTTTTTTATGTGGTATGCTAGGTCACATAGCACACACTTGCACCATTAACCATAGCTCACATTGGGTTTGGCGCCCCAAGTTACATGATCCACAGCATGCATTGCATTCTACTTTTCATAAGAAGGAACCCAAACATGTTTGGGTTCCTAAATCTGATATTTGATAATTTTATAGGTAAGCTCTCAGAAAAGGCTTCATGAGAGCATCTGGTACCCTAGGCACATCACTTCTTTTGAGATTATTAGATTTTTTGATTCTGATTTTGCAGGATGTAAGGTGGATAGAAAAAGCACTTCTTGAACTTGCCAATTCATAGGACATTCTTTAGTCTCCTAGTCTAGTAGAAAGCAAAACTCTGTTGCTCTTTCCACTACTGAAGCTGAGTACATTGCTTTAGAAAGTTGTGTGGCCCTAGTCCTTTGGCTAAAATAGCAAGTACTGGATTTAGGATTACCTGTAGGCACCATCTCAATTATTTGTAACAACACTAGTGCCATCTGCTTTTCTAAGATTCCTATCCAACATTCAAGGACTAAGCACATTAACATTAGGCATCATTTTATTAGAGATCACGTGACTAAGGGAGATATTGAGTTACACCATGTGGCAACTGAGAATCAATTGGATGACATATTTGCTAAACCACTAGACTTCGATACTTTCAATACTTTAAGGACCAGATTGGGTGTGATTGACATTAATGCATGAACTTGATTTTTATTGATTTTCTTATTTGTTATCGGCTGATTACCTTGTTTTATTTTTTTTAGTCTTTTTATTATTTATTCTTTTTGTAGATGTTTCTCTTGTTTTTACTTTAGTTTTTAGGCCTTAATTTGTTTTCTCTTTCAAATCATCACTGAATTGATATCTTATGCCTTGTTTTTATTTTTTTTTTGAAAATTTGTAGTCAATGTTTTACATCTCTTTAATATGCTAAAGGGTAAAATCACCGTTGATTGTGTCTCTTTCTCTAACATATTCTAGTAGTTAAATTTTTTTTTTTAAACAAAGGTCTAAATCAAACTAACAAATGGATTTTGCAATTGGGATGCTTTCTACCTTGCTACAACAATCTAGCTTATATTTATAATAATCAAAGTTTTTTGTTACTTCAATATTTCTCGTTATCTTATCAATGCATCTCTCATATAAATTTTTATTCTATTTTGTGGTTTATTCTTCCCTATAATAGAGAGTGAGTTTTCTTCTTCTCTAATATCCAGAAGATATACTCACAACTAAGAATATTTAAGAATTTTTGGAAAAGAATTTAGCTTGAAAAAAAAAATAAGGACAATGATGCCAAAAGCAAAAGATTCACAATGATGCCAAATTGGAAAAAAAATTATTATACACAAAGTGCATCATAAATCAAAAGATGCGCAAAGTGCTCCATTCAATGGACAAGAGGCATAAAATGAGCCAATCAAAAAACAAGCTATCTTCCTTTCTTCCAACTCTTAAAAATTAGAAGATTTCATATATCACTTGAGATTTCAAGGACTTGATTTTGAATTTTGCAATTTAACAAACTACTTTGATATATTATTTTATAAGATATTTTTCTGAAACTAAGTCTTGATCCGATCTCTTTTTCTTATCCAAATGTTTCTTCTAAGTTAGGCCTTTTGATTTCAAAAGAAGATTTTGCCCTAAAAGAAGTCTGAGCTTAGGGTTAACACGATCGGATATTTTACCGTTTTTTGGATTTTTGAAGTTGTTAACTCATTAACTTACAAATTTTTAAAATCAATCACATGGAGACTATATCATGTTCATGACTTGATTAAAAAAAAAGCTTTGTTTTTTTATGGCTTTTGTTTTATCGTTGTTATTTTTTGTTGATTTTATTGTTTTTGAGCCTTCTCTAATCATATCCATTCTTCCTTTGATTTGAAATTTTTTGTCACATCGTCTTGGCCGATATTTATATCATCCTGGACGATCAGCTTTTCTTGCTTCAAAAACTCAATATGCTTAATATTTTGACCTTTATGCTCTAATCATCCTGGATGATCCTTTATCATCCTGGTCGATCTGATCATCCTCATTACAATCATCTTGATCGTCCTGGCCGATACATTTTTCA